CAGAATTTCAGAATAGGATTTCCCATAGCGTCTATATATAGTGCTAAGCTACGCCCTAACAGGCTTGGGCCCAACTTACATAGCGTCTATATGTAGCGGGTCCGATTCAAGGCATTCAACAGGATTAATTAGAGTAAAATATAGTTAACAAATAAAAAGTTAATTAATAAAGAAAATACAATAAAATAAATATAATTAATAAAAGATATTTGAGGTTATTATTTAATAACATTTGTTCTTTTTCGCCACTCAAATGTAACTGGTTGATTATATTTATTATCTTACATGATATGTTGAGTAATCAAATCGAACTGAAAAGGAAAAACAAACTCATTTATATAGATAGATGAAATTGAAAAGTACAGTTACGTTGGTGCAAAGTGTTACATCAGGCCATTTATGTTTTTTTTTTTATAACCTCAAACAAAAATATGAAAGAAATTACATTAAATAGTAATAGTATCTAGATCATAATTAAAAGGATGAAAACTTATTAATGTAAAAGGATTTACTATCCATATAATTAAGGGTAATCTTTTTTTAAAAATAGATTTACTCTCCAAATAATTAAAGGTAATCTCTTTTAAAAAATAGATTTACTATCCAAATAATTAAAGTAATCTCTTTTAAAAAAAATAGATTTACTATCCAAATAATCAAAGGTAATCTCTTTAAAAACTAGATTTACTATCCATATAATTAAAGGTTATAATCTCTTTTTAAAAAAAATAGATTTACTTTCCAAATAATTAAAGGTAATCTCTTTAAAAAAAATAGATTTACTCTCCAAATAATTAAAGGTAATCTATTTAAAAAAATATAGTCAGTGAATCATTTCTTAATACTATATAAGATGAGCATAGTGATTCATCATTTTCATTATAAAAAAATACATTTTGAAAAAAATCACAACCAAAAAAAAAATTAAAAAAAAATGGCAGCCTCTTTGTCTTTGTTTAAAGTTGTGTTTCTTATTGTGCTATTTTTCATGGGCAATGCAGGTATATCATCTTTTTACTTTATTCTTTTTTTACCAATCAATAATGATGAGAGATAATAAAATATTTTTAAAAAAAAATTTATATATCGTTTTTTCAAAATAATCACTCAATCAATCAACTATTTGTTCTGGATTTCATCAATTTAGATTTAGTTGAGTCTGCTTCAATACAGGTATGAAATATCTCTGGACCGTAAATAAAAAAAAAAGTATATCACGAATCCAGACTAATAGTCAGAAATTATGAACTTAACGCCATTGAATATATGAGTACTCTCTACCTTTAATTAAAGCTCTTGACTCTAATCTATAGAGAATATAAATCTTGCGTAGCGTGAATCTGAATTAGTCAAATTTATTATTCTCGTTTATTAATTTTATAAAAATTCTTACTTTGTATTTTATTTTATTTTAACAGAGGCAAATATTTGTCAAGAACCAAGCAAAACATTCAAGGGACCATGTGTAGAACAAGCAAAGTGTACAAGTGCTTGTCAAAGTGAGGGTTTTCAATTTGGAGAGTGTAGTAACTCCATATGCTACTGCACAAAGCCATGTCCTCCCAATAACCAATAAAAAATATTTTGTAATTTTTATTATTTCTCAATTATCATTTTATTTTTATGAGGCTCAAATAATATAAACTTCTACTTTGATGATTAATTTTTATTTATTTATGATTAGAGATCTTAAATTTTAGCTATGAGACGGAGATTAATTTTGATAGTTAAAAGGTGTTTTTTTTCATTTTTATAAGTTTTATTGCATAACGTGAATGTAAATTAAAACAATCACTCAAACTTTTTTAGTGAGTTTAGCTTCCTTTCGGATTTAGATTCGGACTGAGAAGTTTAAATTTTTAATTTTGTTTCGAATTTAGAAAAATAAAAATTAAACCCGAAGTACATTGAATTATGAGTGTTTAACACTCTAAAATAATCTTACTTATGGGCCTTTTTGTATTAGAGTATAAAACTTATATATTTTAAATAATATTTTTACTGTTTTAGGCATTAAAAGCTGGGACCTATTTTTTTGAGAAACTTTCACATATAGCCACTTAAAAATAATTAATTACTCTCTATAGCTATAGTTTGATAATTACAATTTGTAGCTACATGTTATTTGGAGGAGAGAGACGAGCGAGACTGGGAGAGAGAGGAGAGAGGCGAGAGAGAGAGGGGGGAAAAGGTGAATTGTATATGTACATTGGTAGATAATTGTATATTATACATATGTAATTGTATATATGGCAAGAGAGATTGGGAGAAGGAGGAGAGAGGCAAGTGAGACTTGGAGAGAGAGGAGAGAGGCAAGCTAGATCGAGAGAGGCGAGTGAGAGAGGGCAAAGAGTGGGAGAGAGGTGAATTATATATGTATATAATTGTATATAACTGTATATTATACATATACATTTGTATAAATGGCAAGCGAGATTGGGAGAGGAAGGAGAGAGGCGAGCAAGATTGAGAGAGGGAGGAGAGAGGCGAGCGAGAGAGGGCAGAGAGTGGGAGAGAGGTGAATTATATATGTATATAGGCTAAAAAATTGTATACTATACATATTTATTTGTATATCCTAGTGAATTATACATATACAAACATGACTAATTATACAAACTCGAAGTCAGCCCACATAATTTATCTATAATGTTAGTCGCGAGTGGTAATTATAGCAAACTATAGCTATGATGAGTAATTAAATAGTATAAGTTTGCTTATCAGCGTAATTTTCCCATTTTTTCCTTCTGATTTAAAAGCCATTGACTGTATTAAAGTTTCTTTAAAGATTTCAGGTTGAACCTTCAAGTAGGATTAGTATTTATTGAATATTCGAGTTTCCTTTTATCTGGTATCTGAATTGAAATTAGATTATATTTGATTTTTTTTTGTTTTTCATTCGATATCTGTATTAGAGTCTGACTAAGTATGGATCACATACCGCAAGGCCCATTTGTGAGATCTCTAATTAATTGTGGAGTAATCATAGTCACTATATCACAAGTCATTTTGGTACCTACTGAATGTCTAGTTGTTTAAGAAATGCACCTATGAAACACATAATATTAATATAACACACAAAAATAATTAATCAATATCTATTCATATATTTCTGACTATCTCTGAACAAATATCACCATTCAAATTAAAATGTAAATCTTTAATAAATTGAGAGGACTCAATAAGCTAATTAATAATGATATTAAAGAATTCGATAGTTTTAATGGATCCTCTCGATTTTTCTACGCTAAAATTTTTGAAATGATTCATCGGCGCTGCTCATACTAACCAAGGGTGTGCTTTGTAGGAAGTAAAATGTTTTCTATGAAAATTATTACTTTTTTTGGACAATTACGAAAGTAAATAAGTTTCTTATACTTATTTTTTTGTGTTTTGATATGTAATTAATTAAAATGTGTTATCTTACAGATATTTGTATATAATTACGACAAATATTATATGATAAGGTGAAGGTATAATTTAGTGGTAGGTCCTATGTGAATATTCTTTAGTTATCACATGTTCATTTTCTTTTGTGGGGCCCATTTTGAGAATGAAATTTTATTAATTGAGTTGAACTTATAAATTTGCTAATTATGAATTATGCACTCATAAAAGTTGAATTTTAAGACATAATAATTTCACTTTAGAAATAGATTTTAAATTATTGATGTCATATACTTTATGTGATCCTAATCCACAATAGTAATACTATATTCCACTAATTATTCACTTTTAAATAATTCAAATTGCTCTGATAATAGCTTTATGATATCGATCAGATTAATTTATTATTTTAATACTATTATTAACATGTGTTGTGTTAGAATAATCTAACACGTATCTATTTTTAATTAAATATTTTAATTTGAGTCCTTAAAAATTAATAAAATCTTGTTGACAGTATTATATTGTCTTTAGACATGAAATCGAATATAGAATTGTGGATATTATATAATGTGATATCAAAAATAATTTTAGTTAGGGGTGTGTAAAAATCGAATCGACCAATAAATTGAACCGATAAAATGTTATTGGGTTATTGTAATTGGGTTATTGGGTTTTTAATGGGTTTAGAAAAAATAATTGTTGGGTTATTGGGTCGGTTTCGGTTTTTCCTATTGGGTTATTGGGTAAAACGATAACCCAATAAGACGATAGTTATTTACTACTTTACCCTTCCTCAATATTAAATATACATAATTTAATACATAAATAGATTCAATATTAGCTTTTTAGGCGACGTGATTTTTTGATTAGGAAATTGGTGAGAACTTTGTTGATTATCTGGTGGAGCAAGCAATTGTTCAAGATTGTCTCATTGAAATATTTTATTTTAGTTTTAATTCTAGTTCGTAATTGTAGGCGATAGCTTTTGCAAGTTTGTGGATGTCAGTAATTTGATCAACATTCAAAGTTTTCCATTATGTTTTGGCGGTAAGTTGGTAACATGTAATTATAACATACGTTCTATTATATATTATTTGATCAATATTTTCTTATTGGATTAACCGAAACCGAACCGATAAAAAATTTCTTATTGATTTGTTATTGAGTTAGCATATTTTAAAACTAAAAACCGAACCGATAATACGTAAAACCAAACCGATCGATGCACATCCCTTCTAGTAATAATAATTGAGGGATGACTGTTGAGTTAATTAACAAAACAAATTATGATGGAATCATAAATATTCTTTCTTTATGATTCAAAGGCAAGTTAAAGTTAACTTTTCGATGTGAATTCGAATTAATTCATTAGCAAATCAGTCAACCATCGCCCTAAACATACTCTTTCTTATTTCTCGTTGGATACTTTTAGATCCAATTGTTTTTTTTCTTCTCTCTCTAAAGTAGTTGCATTTTCTGTTTCAGTTGGAATTTCTCAACCCAATCCTCTGTTTTCTCAGGTAAATTCTCTCTTCACCCGCAAATTTCTCATCCGAATTCAATTCGCTTTGCAATGTTTGTTTGATCGTTGGAATAAAAAAGTAATTGTTAATCTCTTTGCATTCCTTTGTGATCATGTTTTTTATGATCTGAATTGCGTTTAAGATGTAATTCATTGATTTGCTCACGGAAAAATGTTGATGTTTTTGGCTTTTTTGCTTGTCGAGATGATTGCTATTATGTGTGGGTCCATGGGCGGAACTACCTTAGGCGAAGAGTGATCTAATGCACACCCTTCGTTTGAAAATTATATGGTGTATAGAGGTTATATTGAATTTCGCACACCTTTAATGTAATTGAGAAGAAAAGTTGAACGCCCTTCACTAATATGGGTCACACTTGTGACTTGACAACAAGAACATACCCGTTGTAATCTCACAAGTGGGGTGGGGGAAGTGTAAAATGTAGGTAGATTTTACCACGTACCTTTGTGGGCTAGATTGAATCTTTTCAATGGACTTCCGTCTCAAAGAAAATGAAGTTATTGGGGGAAAAGTTGTGAGAAGAAACACTCTTTATTGCTTTGGATGTTGTAAATGAATGCTAACTTTGTATGGTTCACACTCTTTATTGCTTAACAACAGCTACAACATATACAGTGTAATCTCATAAATGAGATTTGGAAGGGTAAAATTTAGGCAAATCTTACCCCTACCTTTTTTGGATAGATTGGTTGTTTCGGATAGACCTTCAGCGCAAAAAAAGCAAAGTTATTTGGGAAAGGGTTGCAAGAAGAAATACTCTTTATTGCTTAACAACAAAACCAACATGCTTTGTAATTCCACAAGTAGGGTCTGTGGAGGGTAAAATGTATGCAAATCTTACCCTACCTCTGTGGGGGTAGAGGGAGTGTTTTCAATAGACCCTTAACTCAAAAAGCTACGTTATTCAGTGAAGGGTTGCAAAAATAAACACTCTTTATTGCTCTGAGTGTTGTAAATGAGTGCCGACTTTGTATTGGATACTCTTAATTGCTTGACTGTTAGATGGAAATGTTGACCTAATGGATATGAACTTCAATGTTTTTTGTTAGAATCCTATGTTGCTTGATGTTTTGGACCATAGTCTCTGTATATGATTTTGGGCAATGTTAGCCGCTTGAACTACCTATGAGGTTGAATTAGGTCCAAGGTCCATTTTCTTAATGTGTTTTCAAAACTCATCCTGACGCTTGGTTACCTAATGTTGGAGTCCCATGTTAACTGAGTTTTAGCAGGCTAACAAGTAGATATTAAGATGCACAAAAGTGACCCGAATACCACCATTGCAGAAAAATGAATATGGAGGATTCATTAACTGTTTTTGACTAATTTGAGATTGAGGAATAGTTGATTAATTGATTAACTGTATATATAACAAATTGTAGCATATTCATGTATTGAACAAGTGGTGGTTTTGTCTTTTCATATATATTATTTTCACCAACTCTTTTTAGTTTTGCAGGTACAGCTAGTTATGGCCACTTCCGAAAGCAATTTTAATGAGGACATCAAGAAAGATTTTTATATCCCTACCTATATACTTTCAGAGGATGCAAGTCGGAGTGATGATGTAAAATTGCCTGATGTGCCTACATGTCCCGTGCTAGTATTCATCAACTCTAAAAGTGGAGGTCAACTTGGTGGAGATCTTCTTAATACATATCAATCACTTCTTAACAAAGATCAGGTATTGACGCTGGTTGCATCGATTCACATAGCAAAGCTTGGTGAACATAAAGTGTGAGACAAGATCATTTTTGAGTCATCTTTAT